TTTTTCTTTTTGGATGGATACTCCGGGTTTTTCCAAACCACTATCCATCCAAATGATCAAGAGAAAACTACTTTCACATGTCCATATGGAACATTCGCATACCGAAGAATGCCATTCGGGTTATGTAATGCTCCTTCAACTTTCCAACGATGCATGACTTCCATTTTTTCTGAAATGCTTGAAAATGAGATTGAGGTTTTTATGGACGATTTTAGTGTTGGTGGCTCGTCTTTTGACACATGTCTTTTTAATCTTGAAAAAGTTTTGAAAAGGTGTCAAGAGGCGAGCTTGGTTTTAAATTAGGAGAAATGCCATTTTATGGTCAAGGAAGCTATTGTCCTAGGCCATAAAGTATCAAAGAAGGGCATTGAAGTTGATTCGGCCAAGGTTTCGGTGATTGCAAAGTTTCGCCCTCCTACTTCCGTTACGGGAGTGAGGACCTTTCTAGGGCATGCCAGTTTTTACCGTAGGTTTATCAAAAAATTTCCATCAATCGCCAAACCTTTAACCGAATTACTGAAGAAAGATGTGGTGTTTAACTTTGATGAGGCTTGTCTTGAGGCATTTTCAAAACTCAAGGAAGCTCTCATTTCCTCTCCTTTTTTGCAAGCTCCGGATTGGAGCTTCTTTTTGAGCTAATGTGCGATGCAGATTTTGCAGTAGGTGCGGTTCTTGGGCAAAAGAAAGAAGGAAGATCTCATGTCATCTACTATGCAAGTAGAACACTTGATGAGGCTCAAAAGAACTATACAACGACGGAGAAGGAAATGCTTATGGTTGTGTTTTCCATGGACAAATTTAGGTCCTATCTCATATGCTCCAAAGTGATTGTGTACACGGATCACATAGCGGTTCGCTATCTTATGACCAAGAAGGAAGCTAAGCCATGCCTCATTCGCTGGGTTCTTTCGCTCCAAGATTTTGACATGGAGATGAGAGATAAAAAGGGAGCGGAGAACTTTGTGCGGATCATTTGTCTAGGATTCCTTTTGAGAACAAGGAGGATGTGCCAATCAATGAAGAAGTAGGATTCAAAACTTTCATGGCTATGGCTTTAACATTTAGCCTGTGGTATGCGGATATATCCAATTATCTTGCTTGCAGGGTCATTCCCCCGGAGTTTTCTTCTCAACAAAAGAAAAGGTTATTCAAGGAAGTGAGGAGGTAATTTTGGAATGACCTCTACTTGTTTAAGTAGTGTGGAGATGGCCTCTTCCGGAAATGTGTTCCGGACCATGATATCGAAGGAGTTCTTGAGCATTGCCACTCATTACTGTGTGGAGGACATGGAGGAGTTGATAAGACGGTGGCAAAGATTTCGCAATCTCTCCTATGATGGCCTACGATGCATAAGGATGCCCATAAGTTCGTTTCAAGATGTGACAAATGCCAAAGAAATGGTGGCATAACCAAAAGGGATGATATGCCTCAACAAAACATTTTAGAAGTGGAGCTATTTGATGTTTGGGGTGTCGACTTTATGGGGCCTTTTGTCTCTTCATATGGGAATTTGTATAGTAGCGGTGGATTATGTGACTAAGTGAATTAAAGCTATACCCTACCCTACCAATGATCATAAGGTTATGCTTAAGCTTCTCAAGAAAATCATATTTCCGCGGTTCGGGGTTCCTAGGGTGCTAATCAGTGATGGAGGTTCTCATTTCGCCAAGAAGCAATTTGAAGCTCTTCTTACGAGATATGGGGTTCATCACAAAGTTGTTCTACCTTACCATCCTCAAACCCAAGGGAAAGTGGAGGTTTCAAATAGAGAGATCAAGAACCTTCTCGAAAGAATGGTGAACAAATCTAGGAAGGATTGGTCCCTCTAGCTTGTCGACACACTTTGGGCCTTGCGGACGGCATACAAGACTCCCATCGGTACAACACCCTATAGGTTGGTCTATGGGAAGGCTTGTCATTTGCCGGTTGAGTTGGAGTACAAAGCTTAGTGGGCAATCAAGGAGCTAAACATGGATATGTCAAGCCCCATGTTTAAGACTTCCTGATGCACTGACATTTCCATAACCTGAGAAGAACCCAACAAATTCTTATAGAACCTAATAAAAGTTGCAGCTATATCCTCAGGCTTTTGAGCAAGACTACCATCCTCCTTCTCAACATGACATATACTATTCTGGATCCTTCTTTTCCTTAGACATGCATGGAAATAAGAAGAATTTGCATCCCCATCTTTCAACCAATGAAGCTTAGCCTTCTGAGCCAGAAATTTCAACTTTTTCTTATGAGCTTCCACATATTTCATTCTTACCTCATGTTCCTTAGCCATCAATGCCTCATTTGCAGGATCAGAATTCAGGGACATTTGCACCTGAACTAGCTCAGAATGGTAAGCTCTTAAGTCAGGTGAACACCACTGTCCTGACTATGGTGCCAAAGGTTGATAATGCTTCAAAAGTGAGTCAATATTGTCCTATAGCATGCTGTAATGTTTTGTATAAGGTGATAGCTAGGATGATATGCTCCAGGTTGAAGGAGGTGCTTCCTGGTTTAATTAATCAAGTTCAGAGTGCTTTTGTGGCTGGAAGATCCATATTGGATAACATTCTTATGTGTCATGATATCTTAAAGGGATATAGGGATAAGCAAAAGGCTCCTAGATGCACTATCAAGGTGGATCTTAGGAAGGCTTATGATTCCATTAACTGGAACTTTATAAATGATATGCTTACTGGACTTAAGTTTCCTCCTGTGTTTGTGAAATGGATTATGCAATGCATTTCAACCCCCTCTTTCTCCATTATGTTGAATGGAGGTCTTAATGGCTTCTTCAAGGGCAAGAAAGGAATCAGGAAGGGAGATCCAATGTCTCCTCTTATCTTTGTGATTGTCATGGAATACCTTTCTAGGTTATTGAAGAAAGTGGGATGTATGAGAAGCTTGAAATTTCACTCTAGATGTAAGGTGCTCAATTTGAACCATTTAGCATTTGCTGATGACTTGATGTTGTTCTGTTATGGTGATAGGAAGTCAGTGTCTCTTATGGTCAGAGTCTTAAAAACATTTGAGAAATGTTCTGGGTTACAGGCCACTGCTGAGAAGACTGCCATTTACTTTGGTAATGTAGCAAATGCTGTGAAACTTGACATTTTGAGGGCTTCTGGTTTTGTGGAAGGTGACACTCCTTTTAGGTATTTGGGTATCCCTTTAAATGTTAGAAGTCTTTCTAACAAGGATTATGATTGCCTGGTGGATAAAATGTTGACCAAGATTACATGCTGGTCAAGCAGAAACCTTTCTTATGCAGCTAGATGCCTTCTAGTCAACACTGTTCTTCTTAGCCTCCACACATATTGGTCTCAATGTGTCTTGTTACCTGCTGGGGTGGTCAAGAGAATAACTCAAATTTGTAGGGCTTTTCTGTGGAATGGTAGTGCAATTCTGAGGAAGGCCCCTCCCATGTCTTGGGACTGGGTTTGTAAAGACAAGAAGGCTGGGAGTTTGGGCATGAAGGACTGTGAAACCTGGAACAAGGCTGCTCTTGGGAAGTATGTTTGGAAAATAGCACAAAAGGAAGACTCATTATGGGTAAAATGGGTTCATGCAGTGTATGTTAAAGAGAGTGACTGGTGGGAATATGTCCCTAAGAAGAGTGCAGGCTGGGCTTGGAAGAAGCTTTGCAAAGTAAAAGAAAGTTTGAAGGAGGGGTTTCTTTCTGCGAACTGGCTGAATGGAAAATACAGCATCTCTGCAGTGTATAAGTGGCTTCAAGGTGACCAGTCTGAGGTAGAGTGGAATAAATGGGTCTTGAATTCATACAATATTCCTAAGCAATCATTCATTCTCTGGCTTGCTATTCAGAACAGATTAAAGACTAAGGATATGCTTGCTAAATGGGGGGTCTGTCAGGAAGCTTCATGTCTGCTATGTGGGAATGCTATTGAAGATAGAAATCACTTGTTCTTTGACTGTGAATATAGTAGGAAATGCATTAGAGAAATCAGTGAGTGGCTGGGTATACCTGATACCATGTTTGATATTGATACATCTTAGAAGCAGTGGTCAAACTGGATGCAAGATTCAATCAAGAGGAAGGTCTGCCTTGCTGCCCTTACAGCAGTGGTGTACCAAATTTGGTTCGTGAGAAACAAGGCATTTTGGCTGAAAGTGGTTATTCATCCTAAGGCAGTTTGCAGAATTATCAAGGTTGAGATAGTCAGAAGTAGGCAAATGATAAATAGCAAATGGCGGAGAAAGCACTGTAAATGGCTTCATAGTTTACTTGTTTGATGTTTGGTTACATTCTCTGTTTGTAGATATCTGTATAGTGTTGTTTTGTGGTTTGGTTTCTCTTGTTTGTAATAGCTGGTTCCTGCTTCTGTACCCTTCCTAGAAGGTGCCAGAACCTTGAACCAGCTTAGCTCCCTTTCTTCAAGTGGCACCCTTCCTAGAAGGTGGCCCCTATGAAGATAAGGGAAGGTTAGGAGATTGGTTGCCTATTTGTAGGCTTGTGTAGTTTGGAGAATTGCAACTTTCCTTTTTATAAGTTGTAACATTTATTCCTTCTGGTAATAAAATATTTCTTACTTACCAAAAAAAAAAGAAAAAAAAAAAAAAAAAAAAAAAAAAAAAAAAAAAACTACACATAGACAAGAGAAAAGCTTAAAACTTCTCAAATTCTGGTACTTGCAGCACCTGGCTGCAAAACATTCAGGCATTCACAATCTACAGTAGGATTTTGTGGAGATGCATTTGTTCAATTGTAGGGCTTATTGCCTAGTTCTACATACATAAGAAAGACTCATGCTATGATATCCATCTTCCAAGTGTTCTAAATAGTATCGATTGGATTGTAAATGAAGAATCTTCTGGTAAACTCTTCCATTGCAGCAGTACTGCAATACTTACACACAGTCAAGAACAACTTACATAAGAATATAAGATTTATGATTTCATTGGGTTTATCCATAATTGTAAAGGTCCATAAGAGATTAGGAACATAGATATTATCAAAGATTAATTAATGCACATATAAAACAAGATGAGGCAAATAATGCAATTCTTATTAATCTGAAGTTTCCAACAAGTGCTAATTTCATTCATCCTCAATTAACCACTAGACTAATCATCTACAACCAGATTCTGATTTTACCCTAAATTACATGCCTATATTCTGCACAGATTTGCTCCGGCTACTTCATCAATGTCAAGTCATACAAGCATATGATGTTGTCATGGCTTTCAATTCATATCAAAAATTGCTTGCTACACTCAATCAGCAATTAAACTCCTAAATTTACAAAAAAATGTGAAACGCTGATCATTGGTAGCATCTTTAGCACTTAGCAATGAGAGCTTTATCTATGGCAAAATAAGAAAGATCTGCCATCCGAGTGATCTATCTCTCCTTAACTTCATCTAAGTAAGAAGCGGGTATCTCTGCTGGAGATGCTAATGTTGAAACGCATTTGTACTGTGACAGAAAATAAAGAATTAACATCAGACAAACAACTTAGAAAAGCCCCATCATAATTAAACGATAAGAAGCAGTCAGGCAGGCAAAATGCATTACCTTATGCTGCTTGTATTTGTTTCTTACTGCTACCAAAGACCCGCCTCTTCGATCTAGTTGCAAGTCTTGGATCCGAAGAACACATTCTTTTAGATCCGATGGTTTATAACCAGTATAAGATTGCAAGCTTGAATTCTGTAAAATGCATAATCAGTTACTTGGGACTTCCATTTCAGGATCTTACATAATAAACAGCAAATCAAGGTTTAATACTGACCCAAGGGTGCTTTTTGGGTTGTGTTGTAAACTTTGCAAGAAAAATAACTGATGCCGCTACCATAGAAGGTAAGAACTTCACACATCCATAATCTAGCAAACTGAGCTCAGCTAAGTAGTAACCCAAAAATTCCAACTGCAGATTTGGATTCTGTATAATCACAATATAAGTTAATAACTAGTTGATTCCTTTTATCAGATCAAGCATAGACAGCAGATACAGCGCCGTAGCCAGCTAACACACCTTAGAATTTCCTTGAGCAACCCTGGCGAACCTCCTGCAGAGATTAACAAAAGGGGAAAGACAAACTAATTAATAAAGTATCCACCAAAAACACACCAGAAACAAAAAGATTATACATCTAATGAACAATGCAATTCACTTCAGATCCTCACCTGAGAAACGATTTTACGGTAGGATTACCCATTTCGTAGTTGAGAGTTTTGAGTACATCAGCCTCCATATCTACAACCTTCACATTAAATGAACAACATTCTCAATACAAACCAAAAACCCAGATTCAGATTCAATAATTTGGAGATAATATAAATTGAGAACTAACCTCTTGTTTAGTGTAGGTATTTTCTGTCATATCACAGAATTTCTCAACAGGTTTGGGATCTATTTCTTCATACTTCCTACAGTTTATAACAGAGAACTTCAATAAAATTATTCTAACAAGATAAAAAAAACAAAAAAATAAAGCCGAAATCGAAGATCGAAAACATACGATGCAATTAGCATAGCAGAAACACCCAGAAGCTGAAGTTTTTGTCGATTAATCGGTTTGAGGGACAAGTATCGATCGATGTGTGAAATTGTCAAATAAAGTGTGTCTGAAACAACCTTGAATTCTTCAGCAAGCTCTACTAACCAATCCACCAAAATTCCTCTCATATTCGCACTTACATCTTTCTGGATTATCTGCATGTACTCTCCCAGCGGCCTTCTCTTCTCTTCTTGCTACACAATTCAATCAACCCCAATTCAATTTCAAACATAAACCCTAATTTCGGAAAAACCATACCTAACAATCAATTCCCCCCCCCCCAAAATCAACCCAAAATGGAAAAAAATTGATACATTTCTCAGAAAAATAAATTACTATTTCCAAACCCTCAATAATTATTACCAAAATGACAGAAAATTTGATAAAAATTTAACAATCTTACCTCCATATTCCGAAGATATTCATAAATTCCAGTAACATAAGGCCCACACATTTGAGGATCATCTGAACCAGCATCAATATCTTCAGTAGCTACCTTTCCAACACCAACAACATCTTCTTCCGGAGTTTTCTCCGATGCCGGAATCGACGAACTACTAATTGGTTTAGCAGGTTTCCTCGAACGACCTCTTGCACGAGGCTCAGAACAAGATCTTAAGCTTGAATTCCCCAAAATGTTCGAAGGTATTTCACCCAAAACAACCCTTCTTTTGTTCGCCGGTGGCTGATGCTGCGGATTCTCTGACATAGCTTCGGCAGCTCTTCGCTTCGCCGACTGCCTGGTAACCCTCATACAATTCTCCTGATTCGCCATTATTCCGATAACCCGAAAGCCGAAAGAGAAAATTAGAGAGAGAAAGAGAAGGAAGCAGAAGAAGAGTTGTGGTGGAAATGGAGGTGAGAGAAGTGAGTCTCTTTGTAGAAGAATGAAGGCGCCATTTGAGATTGTTTCAAAAAATGTTAAAGTTTCGCGGTTCTATGAATGTACATTTTAATTTCTAATTTCGGTTCGGTTCCGCGAAAAATTGAATTGAGGGGGGTTGGTTGTTTTGAATTTTGAAATTTGGGAAATTTGGGTTTGGGAATATGTTTTTATTTGGACAGTTTTCAAGTTTGGGTTTTGAAATGAAAATTCTCGGTCTAATTTACTCTGCGAAATGTTTTTAAACACCAAAAGGTTATTTTGGAGCTTGTACTTAGGATTCTTCTACTTGTGATTTTGTTAATCACTAGGGGAGTAGGCGGGCTATTTTAAAGTTTTTAAATATTTCGTGATTTAGGACATTAAACGCTGAGTGAAACTATGGAAGTGGAGAGCAAATTTTTTTTTTAAAAAATTTTTGGACTAGACCATGTGGATTAGAATAGATATTTTTTTTTCTAATTGAATGAGAAATTATGCTGATTGCAATTTTTGGATGATTATAAAGTGGCTTAATTTATTTTTGGACTTTTCGTCTAAAACTATCTATTAAAAGCCATTTTTTGTGAGAAACTACCTAACAAAAAAATGTTGTAAGAAACAACCTTCAAAATATAAAAGTTGTAAGAAACTATCTATTAATATAAAAATGTCGTAAGAAATTATCCTATGCCGAATTTTCGTCTTTGACTAATTTCTCCGGCGTTGACCACTTTGGCCGGTCACATGATTTTAAATTAACCAAATTCTCACCCTTATTTCCCCAATTCGGTACCCAATATCCCCATTTCATCATTATATCCCTCAATATCTCCTTCCTTACAGCTTCCCTTACATCATTTTCCCCTTCCCTGCTTCCATATAACAATACGCATTTTAGGTTTCCTAATTTCAGCTAATTTTTTGGGGTGGAATTGCTAGAATTAATGTCGGGGTTGCTTTGTTGCCACGTTATTGTTTCGAGTTTTGAAATTTGGGAAAATTGGGTTTGGGAATATGTTTTTATTTGGACAGTTTTCAGGTTTGGGTTTTGGAATGAAAATTGCGCGGTCCAATTTACTCTGCGAAATGTTTTTAAACACCAAAAGCTATTTTGGAGCTTGTACTTAGGATTCTTCTACTTGTGATTTTGTTAATCAGTAGGGGAGTAGGAGGGCTATTTTAAAGTTTTTAAGTATTCCGTGATTTAGGACATTAAGCGCTGAGTGAAACTTGGAAGTGGGGAGCAAATATTTTTTTTTATTTTTGGACTAGGTCATATGGATTAGAATAGATATTTTATTTTTTCCTAATTGAATGAGAAACTATGTTGATTGCAATTTTTGGATGATTATAAAGTGGCTTAATTTATTTTTGGACTTTTCGTCAAAAACTATCTATTAAAAGCCATTTTTTTGTGAGAAATTACCTAACAAAAAAATGTTGTAAGAAACAACCTTTAAAATATAATAGCAGTAAGAAACTATCTATTAATATAAAAAATGTCGTAAGAAATTATCCTAAGCCGAATTTTCATCTTTGACTAATTTCTCCGGCGTTGACCACTTTGGCCGGTCACATGATTTTAAATTAACCAAATTCTCACCCTTATTTCCCCAATTCGGTACCCAACATCCCCATTTCATCATTATATCCCTCTATATCTCCTTCCTTGCAGCTTCCCTTACATCATTTTCCCCTTCTCTGCTTCCATATAACAATACGCATTTTGGGTTTCCTAATTTCAGCTAATTTTTTGGGGTAAAATTGCTAGAATTAATGTCGTGGGTTGCTTTGTTGCCGCGTTATTATTGTTGGGTGTAGCATCGTTGAAATGGCGGCTTGGTGTGGCTGATGTTTGTTGGTGTGTTGGTGGCTAAGTATTGAGGTGAGGAAGAGTTGTGCGATGGTGTTGTTGTTGGTGGCGTCATGATGTAGAGAGGGAGTGTGGTGATGGTGTGCGAAAGTGCGATGAGGAATTGCAATGGGGCGGGGATGGAGATAAAAACCATATCCGTCATGGGTAATGGGGCGGAGTGAATTTTAGGTTGTACCCGCCCCATCCCCAATCTGCCCCACCCGCTCCGCTTCATACCCACCCATCCTCGCTCCTCCCCACCCGCCCTGCTTCATACCCGCCCCATCCCCACCCCATACCCATCTATATATTTTTTTAAAAAAATTGTATACTTTCATACTATTTCATATAAAATAATTATGTAAAATAAAGTATTAAATATATTACATTATAGGGCTGAGCAAAACTATTTGATAATCCGAAAATCCGATCCGCATTCGATCCGAAAATTTAGGATAACCGATCCGAAAACATTTTCGGATCGGATATCCGATCCGAAATTTTCGGATCGGATAATTTCGGATATCGAAATTTTTTATTTCGGATATCCGAAAAAAAGTCGGATATCGGGTATCCGATCCGAAATCCGAAAAAAAAACACCTGTAAAAAAAAACTTATTTTACAAAAATTCGGACAAGGATAACCCTAAGTCCCTAATCTTGAATCCGCCTCTTTCTCTTTCTCCTCTATTTTCTCCCTCCTCCTCTCTGGCATCTCCTCCTCCATCCTCCCTCCTCTCTCATCTTAGATCTCCTCCTCCCTCCTCTCTCATCTCAGATCTCCTTCCTCTGCGAACTTGTATACACGCTGCGCAATGATGCAGTCCCGCTCAATCTGCTGCTTCTCTCAGATTATCAGAACATCTTTCAACACTTGTTCTTCTTCATCTTCTTCATACTCTACTCAACCATTGAACTCCTCCTCAATTACCGTGCTATTGTGCTAACTAATACTCTACTCAACTATAAAAGAAGCACTTGAGAGCTTCAAATCTGAAATATGGTCGTCAGACCCAAATCTATTTTCTCTTTTAATTCATGGATGTATTTCTTAAAATTCGATTTCATGGGGAAAACAGCTTCATGTTATTACAATTACTTCTGGGTTATTGATTAGATTATTCCTTGATTTAGTTTTTTTTTTTTTTGTTTTTTTTTTCAATTTTGGATAAAAACCCATATTATTAGATGGGTTGGATATCGGATATCTAAACTATCCGATCCGAAAATTTCGGATATCCAAAAATTTCGGGTCGGATACGGATATCAAATATATGATTTTTCGGATATCCGATCCGCGCTCACCCCTATTACATTATAATATACTTATATTATTAAAAAAAATTTAAAAAAATTGTGATATAAACAATGATTTTTTTTTTGTTGTAATCTAAATTATGTAGTGTTGTTGTATTTGGGAGGTGGAGATTAAGCGGGTATTGGGTGGGGATTAGGTGATGGGGGTGGATATCCAAGCGGGGGTGGGGCGGGGATGGTTTTAGAATTAGACCGCCGGGGCGGGGATGGTGGATAAGTTTTGGACCCGCTGCGGGGATGGGGATGGGGATGAGGATGAGAATGTTAGGCGGGAATGGGGATGGGAAAGCCAAAATTCACCCTGCCTCATCCCGTTGACATCCCTATGAGTGAGGGCTTACGTTGGTTTTGGGGATGTGTGAAGGTGGTTTAAGGGTGTTTTGAGGTGGGTTGAAGTTTTGTGGTGGTTGGGTCAAAATGGTACGATGGCGGACGGTTATTAGGATGGTGGCACTGCTAGTGGGGCATGGAAATAAAAGGTTTTAAAAGGCCATGTGATCGGCACTTGGGTAGTCAACGCTGGAGAAATTAGTCAACAGTGAAAATTCGGTGAAAGGTATTATGTTACAACACTTTCATTTTAATAGGTAGTATTTTAAAACATTTTTTTAGTTGGTAGTTTCTCACGAAAAATGGCTTTTAATAGGTAGTTTATGCCAAAACGTCTTTTTTTAAAAGAAGATAGAATTTAGAAAACGCATTGTACGGGTCAGTAGTTTTGGGTTTTTGTTTTTATCATAACTTTTGATCTAGAGCTCGGAGTAAGTTAAATAATATATCTTTGGAAAGCTTTGTAAGTTTACTTTCTAACCCAATTAGAATGTGATTGATATATTTTGTAGAATTTGAGATATGATTGAAATAGTTGGACGGTGTTAGTTTTTGATAGAGTTTAGTATTTTGATCATATCTTCTTTGCTTCAAATCAAAATTGGGCTTATGATATATCATTAGAAATCTTATTTCAAGGGCTATCCATCCATTTAATATTTGGATAAGAATTATGTGCTACGAAAATCAGAGTTGCACGGTTTTGGGTTGCAATTATGAAAAGAGATGTTTAGGTGAAGGTTTATGGATTTTGGGGCTTAAAAAAAGGTTTGAGTTATTGAAATGGCTAAAATGGGTTACGAAATGATAGTGGGCTAGAGAAAAAGGGCTATTCAAGTAATTATTTAACCTATCATGTGAATCAAACCAAATTAGACAATGAAGGTTATTTCATCATTGGGCTTTGATCGAGGAGACATTTTTAGGTGTCTACAGATATGTATCGATTTAGTGGTGAGAATTTGGTTCTAGGGAGGGTGGGTTTCGGGTTGGGGTTAGGTAGGTTTTGGGGTGGGGTTAGGTTTGGGGGATTTCGATCAGGGGTGGTGGGGGTTAGGGGTTTCAGGGTGGTGGTTATTTTGGTTCAGGAGGAGGACGGTTGGGAGTTTCTGTTGGGTTTCGTAGCGTCGAACGCTACGCGGAAGAGAAACCCGCCCAAGACCCGCTCACTAATTAAAGAAACTAAATATTTAATCACATAATAAACAACATAAAAGAGAGAAAGGGAAATTAAATAACATTCTCACCCTCGACGCGTGCTTCGCTCCTATAGAGCTCGGACTTCAATACCTTAGCTCAACTCAAGGGTTTTCCCACCTATAGGGAGATGCCTTATTGAGTTCAACTCAAGTGTTTTTCCCAAAACCCAAAACTTGGGTATTTATAGGGAATGGAGACTTGATCTCCATTCTCCCCTCAATGGGGGAGATTTGCATTTTCCTCTATTTAATTTTAATCAAAAACAAAATAAAATGCAATTCAATTAACAAGCTACAAGTGGTAAAGGGTGAGCAAAGGTAGGTGAGGACCACTAAGGGGGGGGGGGACCAAAAATCCCCTTGCTCCCCAAGCAAGGCCACCAAGCATCGGTCCTCACCAAAACTCTAGAGCAGCCCACGCATAGCTGGCAGCCACCCTGCCTTGGCTATCAAGGCTGCCTAGATGGCGCCTGGCACCTTGGCTGGGCTGGCTAGCTAGCCCGCATACGCATGCACGTAGCTAGTAGGCCATGCATGCAATGCGGGCTGCTGGTGCTGTGTAGCGTATGCTAGGCGCTGCCTGGCTCAGAAGCATGCTTAGCCTTAGCACATAGCACGCTGCGATGCCCAGCACGCAAGCATGCACAACCACAACACAGCACGTTGCGATGCTAGGCGATGCTGCGATGCGTGGCTGTGTGCGAGAGGTTGCGATGCGTGAGGTTGCTATGCTAGCACACATCGCTATAGCACAACACGCATAGTGCGCTGCTGCTGTGCTTGAGCTAGCGATGATGCGGCTGGGTGCGTATCCCAACACACTAGCATGCGCTAGCTGCTAGTATGCTTGTAGCCTAGTGCACCAGCCTTGCTAGCATGCTTGCGGTATGCCTAGTAATGCGCATGGCATCTTAAGCTAGCTTAGCACTCGCATTGCTAGGCAAATGCGAGGCTACGACTTAGCTCGAACTTGTTGCTTGCTTGATTTTTTGTCTCGTCGAATTCTAAATTCGACTCGACTTGCGACGCTCGGTCTCAACGCTTTAAGCTCGATATTCGACATCTTTGTTCGTATACTCTAACGACTCATTTAATCCTTCGGATTAATTCGTCGTCTCGGATCGGTTACTCGATTGGGTGTGACCCGAAGGGTTCAATCAAGATTAAGTTGATATATTTTACACATTAATATTATTGATCGGAAGCGGCCTCCACCTAGGCATTGCAATCACTTGACCTCATCGAAGAATTAGCTTTCTAATAATTCTGAACCCTCTATCGGAATAATACACTTGTTGGAAGGACATCATTCCTTTCAATCTCCCACTTGTCCTTCCGGACAAGTGTGCAATTAGTGTATAGCCCATTTCCATGTCTCTTAATGTCTCTTCACAATAGACGAAAAAGGTAATTTGGCACCGGTTCAAACCCTCCCCTCTAAGGCACCGGTTTTGAACCGTTGGGGATTTGAGGGGTGCCAAATCCCCAAATTTTTGGCACCGGTAAATCGGTGCGAAATAGGCACCGGTGCCAATTACCCATGGCGCGCCTTTTTTTTTCTATTTCAGTACAATAGGCACCGGTGCCAAAAGTCCCCAAATAGGCACCGGTTTTTTTTAGAACCGGTGCCAAAATTCCCCAAAAAAATTTTAAAAAAACTTTTAGCACCGGTTCTTTTTAAAACCGGTGCCAAAAATGCCCAAAAAAAATAATTTTTTTTTTTTTTTTTTGCATTTTTTTCACTTAAATTGTACCAAATACTTATATATAATCATACTATACATAAAACACATATATTTTCTTCAATAACCTGGAATATTACACATATACATAATAGGACTATATATTGTGTACATTGGAAATTGAGTAGGAAGCCCGTATTCCAGAGCTCTAAGAAAAGTCTCGTCTACAGTCAGTGACATCCCTCCCCCAGCAGCATCATCCTTGCGCAGCCACGCACCATCAGAGTTCAGCTTAAAGTATCCTTCCCGAGGAGGAAATAAATAAAAAAGAGTTATACTGTCATTGGTCTTATTTGTTACGGACTTGCAAAACCAACAGATAACACATCCAAGTATCAAAGTACATGATCGTTGACAGTTCATTCAAAGTTTCAAATAGATACAACAACTAAACTGGTAACATTGTCGTTCCAATAATAGTCCATTTTTTAATTAAGTGTCCAAAACTATTTGCCAAACTAGAAACAACAGTTGCAAGACCATTCAACTATCAACTAATATGAAATAAATAGAGATACATATGAAGATAATATTAAGAAGCATTAAAATTAATTTGAGAAAGACTTATTAATACAAACTATGCTTTAATCAAAGATATAGCAAACAATTTGAGGAAACTGTTGGCAACGATTCAAGCTTGTGCAGTAATGAATTAGACACCCATTTGCTAAGATCTCCCATGCTTTCCTGTATTTTATTTTTCCTAGCAAAAGCCAAAGAGGCAGTGAGACAAGTAAAGTTCTCCAGCTCAAGCTATTTTTGGTTCTTACTTTTTGATTTGTTTAAAGGCTTACTGGTTTGCTCACTATCAAATTATAATTACCTCTATATAAAGTTCAACAAAAAATCACACGAATTTCTCACTTTACAGGTATTTTCTTGACAAGACCAGGCTGCCTAAGTCTATAATATAGTCAGTGATAGAAATGGGGAAATATAAAAGCTTTAGCACTGCAACACAATTTCTATATAAGGTCCAGAAATAAGAAATTTGGTATATCTTATCAATCTCAATGCCCACAATTATAAACACTGCAACACATCAATGAAAATACACATAAAAGTGTATCTCCAGTGCTACTCACCGATGTGTGGACCGAAAAGATAATTACCAAGCCAACTGTAAGGCCTTTCATTAGTTACACTAAAAGTGATAGCTTCATAACTCTGACATACCATAAGATAGGTATGGTTCCAGAATGGGCAGAATCCACTTTATAACCATCAGTCATAAATACTACTTTAGAAATGGTTAAAAGTTTAAACAACACATGCCTTATTAGCAATCAACTGGCTTCAAAACTTTAAACATGTTATAATATTTTTAAGAGGAACATTAGGTTAGCTGTCAAGAGAAACACAAAAATATCGAAGTTATAACATCTGAGAATGATTCAAACCTGTCGTCAATTTGAGCAGGTTGGGATACAGACCGCTTTGCCTTTCCAGCACTAATAATTCCACCGGCGTTCTCATTCACACCAGGCTTAGCACCACCAAATTTGCGTAACCATACCTGCTGTGCAGTACTGAGGACATTATTTGTAAACCTGTTAACCAAAATTTTATAGTTTAGAGGTTGAGTCGTTTACGATAAAGTATATTTGACATTCCTTTGTACTATTGACTATAGTTCAAGTCATGGAACAAAAACAAGTCTGATAAAACATTTTTTTCTAGTACTGATTTTAAATAAAGAAATATAAGTTTCATCACGATTTAATAGAGGACATTCCTCCAAAACTATGACCAATTATACATGATAGTATGATACCATTATGGTGCTGCCAGTGCAGGTATATGCGAATAGTATGAGATGATACAACAATCAAGATAAATGGGAAAGGAAAGAAGGATTTGGGAACAAACCAGTAGATGGATAATCCGGATGGGACGGATAAGGAAAAATAGCCAATCATAAGAGGAAGGAACTTGAGGATGAGAAGTGAATTCTTCTGAGACGGGTCAGCCTGTCCAAGAATTTCTTTCAGCAATTATTAACATTAAATTCAAAATTTATATATATATAATTTTTTTTTTTAAAAAGGTGAAGGATAAAAAACAGAAGAAATATCATTACTTGGGGAGGCTTCATCAACTCCATCGAAACATATGGCGAGACAACCAGCAGAACGGGCTGAACAAGATAGGCTGCAGTATCACTCCAGCCAATAGGGGGGTGACCATCCTGCAAGGTGGCATGAAAAGATTGTGATTCACAAGACCATAAACAAATTTAGCACTCATAAGATGTATAATTGTATATCCTTTAGAACATGATATGAAAATATAAGTCAATGAGTAACAAACAAGTACCCGAGCTAATATTATAAGAAAGAAGACAAACAAAAAAACTGATAAGCAAGCAACAATGACTCAAACAGAAAAAGAAAAATGAAGGGAGTTGAGGAAAGACTTTCTGAATGATTTATGGCCAGCAGCTCAGATGTTAGAGTGGCCAGCTAGTATATGAGTGAAATATGATTAATTTGCTACTGAAGTCCCAAATTCAATGTTATACTATACTAAAATCAGTAAATCGACCAATTTAAGATGGTTCAAGAGCTGATGTCAAAGTATCTAGAGATATTAAATAATGATTAATACATAATATTCAAATTTAATTTTTTATTATTTTTTTTACAATTAAAGAAGTCTTTTACAAGTTCTATTTACAATTAAAACAAATTGTTTTACAAGTTCAAATATAAGTGAAAATCAAGATCATTGAACGCATTAGCTACAAGCCTCATACTTTATACATCATATTTACCCTTTCTTCCTTTTTAACTTTCTAAAAATTGCGCAATTTACATCATTTTTGGGTATATCTCAGCTCATCACTTGAATTTTATTTCCATGTTTCATATGTTTCACTATCACAATTTTTCGGAGAAATAAAGGAAAGGATAAATTGTATTTATAATTAATACGTAGTACATCTCTCCAACAACAATATCCAATTTTCAACAATATACTCCGTAATACTTATAAATTATACATTGGCTTCTTACCATGAAATTGAAGGAAACCATAATCAAAACCAAGAAATAATATACTGCATGCATACTATATAGTATATACCATAATCAATTTCCTACCATGGTAAAGGTGGTCACAGTAGGATACATCTAGCTAGTAGCTGATAAGACTCATAGACATGAATATGTTTAAACCAAGTTTGGTGTTCTTCAAAAGGTACACACCCTAATTAATGGATAATAAACTAGATCACACATTTACATAGCACAAACGAGCCAACATTGAGTGACAAAATTATACTTCCATAGTAAAATTAAAATTAAGCGATTATGACTATAGCAAAACATGCACAACAAAACTGCTACTTCACACTGCTTTCTGAGCAGACAAAATAGCATGCTGACAGTAATTACTCCTACCAGTCCTAAGTATCCAAACTTACATACATCTGGATTCTGGATACTATTATAGTGTTGCAAAGCAGAATGAATTCAGAATTACAGAGTACTCTAAATCAATTAAACTGTAATAACACTTACTGTTGTTGCACGATCAAGTCAATCTCTACTTCAGGCGGGGCAAGAGCAACCTCCTCTTTAAAGACAAGATTAGAGTCCCTGAAACAAAGGCATACACACGTTAGATATTTATCCAAAACTTAGCGGTAACAGATGAAACAACAAGTTTAATTAAAAAAAAGGAGCTATGCAGGTGATAACAAAGAGGAAAAAGTATTGCAAAACTTTTTTTTTTTTTAAAAAAAAGGAGCTATGCAGGTGATAACAACCCAGAGTCAATAGAAAAAATACAGAGCGGACAACTCCGTCGTTGTAGGATTGTATGGAAATAGATCAATTCAAGGAATCAAGGATGCATAAGGAGTTGCAATTAGAAACCTTAACCTCGAAATTCTGATTTTTGGTTCGAAATTGATTCGAATTTGTTGTTGTTGAAGACGCACGCACATCGAATTGATTCAAATAGACGCACCCAGAAACCCTAACCTCCAATATTATAGAAAGAGAGAAGGAGAAGGAGAAGGAGATCGAAAGAGAGAAGAAAGGAAAGGGAAAGTGGCGGTTATGGAGAAGGAGATCGAAGGAGAGAGACGGAGTGTTAGGAAAGTGCTAAGAAAAAGCTCCGAAGTCCCTTCAATGGAGAAATTCGAGTACGCTACAATGGAGGAGAGAGAGAGGCAGATCAGTAGATGAGAAGAGGAAAGAGCAAGGAAATGATGAAGAAGAAGATGCACGTTATAAACCGGGCTTTTTTATTTAAAATGGCACCGGTTCAAACCGGTGCTAATTGCTATAGTTGGCACCGGTTTAAGGCGAACCGGTGCCAACTCTATTGCTTTCAATGGTTTTTTTTTAAAGGTTGGCACCGGTTTGAACCGGTGCTAATTAAATGAGTTGGCACCGGTTTTGGTTGGAACCGGTGCCAACTCCCTATTTTCCAATCCCGCCCATTTCTTTTGGCACCGATTTTCAAGAACCGGTGCTAAAGGGGGGAGGGGGGTGGCTATTTGATTTTTTCTACTAGTGTCATGAACTATAAGGTAAGATTCTTCGTCATCCTTATTACGTCCAGAAGTGTTTCTCAATTTCCGAGTTCGACTGTCAATAAGCAGATGATTTTCAAAATCCATCTGAGCACGGCCATGCATTTTCACAGTCTCGCTCTTTGAGAGGCCTTGTAAACAACAAAAACATGTTCCCTATTGTTAGTAGGGGGACATTCCCAGTCTTGCATTGTTAGCTTCCCTTACTAAGAGGACCTAGCCGCCCGAGTGTTGCCGTTATAATCCCCGTTTATGGCAGACGTTTGACAACATCAAAATGGATTAGTACTCAAACAAGAGAACTTACAATACTCATGATCGAGGAAAAAGGTTCCGATAGCTATAATGAGAAATATACTTATGATTTTAAATCTCTTAAAGTACTCTCATAGGTCGATCCGGTACAGTTCCAAACTAGTACATGTGTAAATGATTTATGACAATCATGTTCTCGTAGCACAAGAAACGGTGCTATAAATCATACTACACACTAATCTCAAGTGGTCATTAATCGTCCATCATTTAAATGACCTTAATTAGGGATGATTTTCGATTAAAATTTTTAATGTTAACTTAACAAGTGTTTCTTTATCCAAGACATGGTCCGATACCCTGTTTTGAATATTCTCAGAAATCGAATGGACTCATTATTAAATTCTAAACCACAATTAAATAGTTTGTGGAATTTTATTAGTAAAATTTTATCCACCATGAAAATTTTCAACGTTTCATCTTATGATAAATGGTTTTCCCCAAATGTTTTAAGAGTAACACTCTTCACAAAACATTTATAGAAATCTCACCCATATTTAATATGCTTGATTTCTTTCATGCAATTCTGGTGAATGTTGTCGTTCACTTATTGCATACGTTTAACTATTATTAATTTGCAAATCTTAGCATCTTCATTATCGAACAATTTCATAATAAGATGATAAAATTTTGAAAGTGTTATGGATCATATGTGATTTAGGATTTATTGTCCAAGTGATGGCTCCCACTCATTTTCATGACTTGAGATCTTTCAACCTGACAACCTACAATTAACGTTCGACAACGAACTTTCCATTGAACACTTTCTTATTATTGCCTTCCAGGCAACAATATTCTCAACATATATTTCAGTAGACATTCTGATGGTGCTTTGCTCAGATTTCATTCCAAACGGCTCACAATGATTTGGGAGATCCTAATCACTTGTGATTTTGGAAATTACCTTAAATTTTTGCACATTATACATAGATGCGTGTCCATGTTACCATTCTCAAGCCACGACGCATTCTAGCTCGTGCTTATAAACAACTTCCTTATTGAGAATCTAATCCTTGCTAAGGATGTGCTTGCAACATCAATTTTCAAATTACATTTGTTTCCCTACGTTAAGAACTCATCCCTTCTACTTATCCAAGTACTTTGGATGTTCTTGATCATAATTTAACGGTCCATTACTTAGATTTAAATTGATTGGTATTTGATACTTCTCATGCTCTAAGCATGTAAGTTGAGTGACGATTCGATATCATAGCACACATGATGGTTTCAATTGCAAAATTACTCCCTGTTTATTCCATTCATGTGACCTTTTAGCTCATCCAGTTTCACCGAGTCTTGCTAAACTGTTTGCTATATGATACGGTTGAAAGTCTCTCCTAGAGTTTTTCTTGACTGATTTAGTATTAGCCTAGCTTATACTTAGTTCAAACATCTACTTAGTTTTATACATATGGGTTGAAAGCCTTTCATGTTTAACACGGTAAATTCCTCTACGACTCATATAAACATTTCGTTAAGTCTATCCAATAAATTAATTTCCACTATGTACTAAGTATCGCCTTTTGCTTGGTCCATTGTCAAAATCCTTTCAAATCTAAGCATTTAGCATTTGACAGTCATTTCACAATAGAGTTCGTAAACTTCTTGTTGGACCATACAAGATTGACTCTTGCTCCCACAAACTTCTTGTTCATAAGAATTTCTATGATTCTCCATAAGCCAAACCTTTTATTAACTTTATGAGAATACATGTTCCAATTCCTACATGCAATGCTTCACTTAATCCCACAATGGATTTCTTGAGCTTGCTTTAAAATCTAGCATTATCTAGAATTACAAAACCCTTAGACTATTTCCATAGTCTCTTTTAAAATCCAATTTTAGGAATGCGGTTTTGCTATCTATTTTGCCATATTTTATATGCGCAATTTTGCTAGAATAATCACGAAAAGAATTAAGCGTTCCGATTGGTGAATAAGTTTTTATTAAAATCAATGCCGTGAATTAATTGTATCCTTTTCAACCAATCTAGCTTTGTATGCTCAACATTTCCATATTTGTTAGTTTTCTCCTTGAAAACTTATTTGCGATTGATGGGTCTTTCACCCTTCATGTAAATGAATCAAGTTCCAAACATGATTTACAAACATGGAGTCTATTTTAGATTTTATGGCCTCTAACCATTATTCGGAATTTGGATTTGTCGTAGCTAATTTACAAGAAACTATTCACTCACCATCCAATGGTGAATAGTATGCTTGTAACTCTTAGGTTTATTTCTAACTTAATAGAAATTTATAGGATTCAATCCAAGCCTTTGGTGAATTCTTTACCTATACGGGGTAATTGCGTCAAACATTGAGTTTCAAGGTGCTTTTTAAAGCCCTTTTGATTATATTGATCTTATTCCACCACTTCTAAAGTTTTGTGAGTATTGAATTCTCATTTAAGGAACTTGTAAAGTCCTTTGAGTATTCTTGATCAATCATTCTCATGAAGCCCTTCTAAAGTCTTCGGAGATTCTCAATTCTAGTTTGTTGCTAATCTCGATGGTCATCGAGTTTATTTTCCTCCCACTTGTCGTTTTGGAAATGTGTTACTTTCCAGAAAGACACCACTTAGAGCAACAAATACTATGTTCTCAATTAGGTTATGGAAGTAATGCCCGTAGCCTCACTTGAATACTCACAAAGAGACATGTATATTATCTTTGGGTAAAAGTCCGTTGTGTAACAAACAGTTAGCTCCTTCTCAAGCTACCTTAGCCCTTATTGAGCCACTTAGCTCCCACTGAGTCAATGAACTCCCACTGAGCTAAGAGCCCTAGACATATACTTGAAAAGACGCTAGAAACTATTTCTATCCATAACTGAATATAGTGTCCTTTCATAGCTTCGACAATTTTTCTTAGTGTAACATTAGCATTTGTGCAAATCTTTAAGAACTTTATAGGAAGGGATGTGATCCATCATCATTCAAGTCATTTCCAAATGGAATCGAGGTCTCCGTCAAGACATACTATATTCTTTGTGGAGCTCATTATGAAATTTCAATTTCATAACTTTTATATGATCACTCTTGGCTCAAGCAAACATCGCTTGATCTAATCTAGACGTTTTGATATCTTGCCAAGTTGATTCTATACTTCACTGAGCATTTGAGCTACTCAAGGTCCAGTTTGTTCACATTTGATGAATGTAGCCACATTATTTCAAATTCTTGTCAGACGTTGAAGTAATGGAATCCTCTTTAGCTTTTGGAGTCAGTTGTATATGCCAAGCACAATAGCTCCTTTCTTTGTCGATTTCAACAAGTAAGACTTTCTTGTCTTAGAACGATTCCGAATCGATTAACTATCAAGAGTCTATCTAATAGAGCCTTGAGTACATTCTTGTCGATGTGACATTGCTAAAGATGTTTGGAACACAAATCATGTCCATGACTTGAACCTTGTGAGTTTTCATGTTAGGGAAATGTTTGTTTATAATCTAGCATTCTTGACTCATGGCTTAGACAACCATGCTATTCAAATAAAACCCGCAACTATTGCTCTTTTATTGAATGCGAGTCTTTCCGTGATTAAACGGATCGTTTGCTGATTATAGAACAAAATAACCATTATTTGTTCCAGCCTTGCCTCAAAAGGACTTTAAACAAAACAAGTGACCTTACAACTGATGTAGCACTACTTGCTTCATTCTAAGCTTGTAAGTCAATAACTTAGCTTGTCTTCAATGGTTTGAGGTCACTTTCAAAGTGGAACACTCAAGCAGTATCCAATACTTATGAAGATAACGAATTGCTAAGTTGACCATAATAACATGAACTCATGGGTAGAAAAGGAATCTTATTCCTTTCCTTAGTTCCTTGTTTCCTATATTTCTTATCATACACCATCTCCTAACTTTCAGAACCATTTCTTTAAGTGCCTTGACTTTTACTCTTTGTTAGGCATAATTAAGCATTTAATGCGCTGTGAAACAAAGTTCCATTTTTTTCCTTCAGTTCGTGCTTGAATTGCTACAGCAATGAGTCCTACTCATTTGTATGAAGCGAAAAGAGATATGTTGGTTGTCAACTATTGACAATTTTAGTTTTTAAACTCAATATTTCATGTCCATCAAAACTACCCAGTATTTTGAATACATGATATCCTACCGTCCTTTCGGACTTAGGTCATTAAAGTCAATTATGAGAGGTTGTATTTTAGAAATGCCTTTCCATTCTTTGAGAATTATTCTCAAAAGATTTCCTTTACCAATCTTTGAAAACAATATAGTTTGATTTAGAATTCTACAAATATAAGTGCAAGGTATAATAATTTATTAAATCCATAACATAAAAAGTTTGAAATTCAAAGCATACATGCAAACTTTCAATCTTATTACGCGTCTTATCCA